AGTGCGAGCATGCATGTGCGTGCACAATTTTTGGCACAGGAGCTCAGAAAGGTTAGCCACCACTGGTATAAGGTGTCCTGCTGGAGCAGGGGGTTGGACTAGAAGACCTCCAAGGTCCCTTCCAGCTCTATTCTGATTTGGGAAGGAGAGGTTAGGATTATGGTTGGATGCCTGATTCCTTGCAAGGCCATGCTCAGCTCATTTTCAATTCAATTGGAATGGGAAGAGTTTAATTTTTTAAAAAAAAAATCCCTTGGCGCCTTCAAACTATTTGGAACAAATGTCCATTTTTGCATCTTAACATAATTTGAGGATTTCACCCCCACATCTGTTCCTAAATCAAATTGGCTAATCAAATTTCAAAGTCACAAGAAAACCTGTGTATATTTAAGAAGAAAAATGTCTAATTCTTTCCAAACTGTAGCCAGTCTGTTCTAGCTGTTTCATGTTGTGTGTGACAAAATTACCTCAAAATGCCACAATCCTTATGGTGTGGCCTTTGTAGTGGCGTACCCTTTGGTGAAACGTGTCTGATAGAATGCACGAGTTCCGCATCGCTCCAGTGTATAAATGTCATGTATGAACCATTTTTATGTAACCTTACGTGAGATCCCATTGTTGGTGTGTAGTGTGAAGGTACCTGTCATTTGAATTAAGCACATCAACGCGTCGTAGAAAAAAAAACCTCACTAAAGCAATACCAAATGAGATTTGCTAATGCAATGCTCAAACCTGCCTCTTTTTCTTCCGATTCCTATCTCGGTTCCAATGATAGGTTATAAAAAGTACAATAGGGTTAGAACATCTACGACACGGTCCAACCTTGGCTGCTTTAAGACCTGTGGACTTCAACTCCCAGAATTCCCGAGCTGGTGTGGTCCGCCAGACTCGGACAGTGAGGAGGTTGGGAAGGAGTCCTGGAATTTGGGGAAGGCTCTAACGAGGGCTTTGCATCATAGGCAGAGATGGGGCCAGGGCCGTCCAACAGTTATCAGCTGCCTTGGGTGTTGGAGATCAGTGGGGCAGAAGAATAGCTGGAGCCTGTTCCCAATGTGCGCATGTGCAGAGCTGCCAGGAAAAGGGAACAGTTAAGGAACAAGGGTTGACTCGGAAGTAAAGGCACAGGTGGGTGGTGAATGACTCCTCCCATAGGGAATAAAGAGGAGTGAAAGGGGACTGGTGTTTGTAGGAGACAATTAGTTCATTTAATTAGTGTGAAGATTTGTTCCTGACTCTCGGAGACTCCTTGCCAAGTATTTCCTTATACAGCGTTGTGCTTGGAAGCTATCGGCCTGGCAACTCTCCAAGCCTCATAAGGTCTGTGGTTGTAATTCACCCTTGAAAGACTGTTTGCTAAGACTTTGTTGGATGCGAATGATAGGAATTCACATTAGGACAAAGAGTCGGCTTCGTGATTCTGTGAAGCCTCAGTGAGAACACCAGCCAGAAATACTGGCTAGCTGGCTGGGGGGAATTCTGGGAGTTGAAGTCCACGGCTCATAAAGTGGCCAAGGTTGGATATCTCAGGTCTATAGGTTGTAGACTTACAGCTGCCATTCTAAAAAACAGCTACAAGTAGAAGGGAAGGTCTGTCAACCTCTAACAAATTGCTTCTTCCTTGAGGACCGAAGATAATGGCACGGGAAGCAACCACTTGCTTTACACAATCCTGATGGAAGTGGTACCCATCTGATTATGGGTACGACTAAGGGTTATGTCTAGGCACCACAGATAAATCTGATCATTATGTTGAGTCTTATCTAGTATTGTGGCTACATCTTAGTTTGAGCAACGTGGCAGTGGGGATATTCTCTTTTTCATTTCTTCCTCGAAATGGGAGATATTTTCCAGTATGGATAATGGATTTTTCTAATCTTGCCAAGTGTGGGGATGATGCTACAGTAACTTGCACACACCTTAGTTTGGACTCATTAAAATGCTGTTGTTCCAGTATTGTAGAAGCTATAGAGTTTCTACAGTGAAGTATGTATTTTACGCTGCATATAAAATTGCTAAATGATGAAGAACTATTATAAGAAAACAACAACAACCAAGGAATCTCATCAAATACAACAAAGCCTATTTGGGATTCTGAAAGGTTTAACACTTTTGGTTTTTATCGCAGTGAAAATGAAATGCTTTTCACTGTTTACATTGTGTGTATACAATATTTTGTATATATTGTGTAAATACAATGGAAAAAAATAAAATGATTACCATTTCAAGACTTGGAAAAGAAAAGAAATTGTTGTTTACATCGGTCAATCCACTTATTTCACCTCTCTACAAATATACTACTAGAGAACAATCAAATTGTTAACGCTTAAAAATATGAATTGTTCTTTCATGGTTTCTCTAAACATGCTTTGGGCCAGGTTGCGATATGCTGGGTTTATCTGGTGTAAAACAAGGTGTAAATTCTTGCTCCAAAGTTTAATTGCTTCCCAAAGCCACAGGTTATACAGGGCATATGAAATCAAAGGGAGGGAGGGAGGAAGCAAGGAAGGAAAGGATGGATGGATGGAGGCAGGGAGGGAGGGAAGGGAAGGAAGGGAAGGGAAGGAAGGAGAGGGAGGGAGCGGAAAGGGAGGGAGGGAGGCAAAGGAAGGCAAAGGAAGGCAAGGGAGGGAGAGAGAGGAAAGGAAGGGAAGAACGAAGGGAAAGGAAGGCAAAGGGAAGAAGGCAAAGGAAAGAAGGCAGGCAGGCAGGCAGAAGGAAGGAGAAGGAAAGAAGGGAGGAAGGAAGGCAAAGGAAGGAAAGAAGAAGGGAGGCAAAGGAAGGAGGAGGAAGGTAAAAGAAGGAAGGAAGGAAATGAAGGAAATGTAGGAAGGAAGGAAGGAAGGAAGGAAGGAAGGAAGGAAGGA